GACCTCCCCGACATCTCACCTTGACCATGATTTCCACCCGGCTGTGGGAGAACTTCTCAATGACTGACTCGATCCAGATGAGCGGCTTCACCTGGGTGGGAGGAAAAGGGTCACCCCCGTGTCCCCTGTGTCGTGCCCCCCCCGGGTGGGCCCGGCCCCCACCTGGGTGTTGAGGCGGTAGGACATGAGCTCGAAGTCTCCATCGGGGGGGATGAAAGAGATGGTGCGGTCGTTGTCGAAGCGGGAGAGCCGGACGCACTGGTGGAACTTCACGTCCTCCAGCTCCACCGACTTGTTCTTGCCTCCTGGGGAGGGATGGACGGTGTCCGGGGGGTGACGAGGGGATGGGCACACGTCACCCCCCTGCGACGGGGCTGTCCCCAAGCCCACCCGGCAGCACTCACGCCCCGTCAGCTCGAAGAGGACACGGTCATTCAAGCCCAGGCGCAGCTCGGGCATCCCCGAGAGGAAGACCTTCAGCTTGATGGTGCCCACCACCTCGCTCAGCAGCACGCTGCCGTTGGCGCTCACCTGCGGGCACCGGCACCAGCTTCATCACCGTCCCCATCACCGTCCCCATCACCATTCCCATCCTCATCACCATCACCATCACCGTCCCCATCAATGTCATCATCCCCATCCCCATGACCATACTCATCACCATCCTCATCACCATCACCATCCCCATCCCCATCACTGACCCCATCACTATCACCGTCCCCATCCCCATCAACGTCACCATCCTCATCCCCATCACCGCTCCAACCCTCATCCCCGTCACCACAATTGTCTCCATCCCCATCCTCATCACCAGCCCCATCACTGGTCCCATCCCCATCATCACCATCGTCACCATCACCCCAGCATCACCATCATCAGCCCCATCACCAATCCCACCACCATCACCATTCCCATCACCGGTTCCCCACCCCACCACGGACCCGGCGCAGCCCCCGCTGCAGCAGGACCCCAACAGCCCCCTTCCCCCCAGTTTACAGGTGTGTCGTCCCCCCCGTCTCACCAGCAGGTTCACCGACTCAATGACGTCGATGAAGACCTCGTTCTTCTTGTACTTGATGCCCTCGGAGCGCCAGGACACGGCGTTGGTGACCGTGGTGGGGACGCGGGATTTGCCTGTCTCCAGCTTGTTACCCTCCTGCGTGATGTACCTGCGGTGGGTGGGGGGGGTGAGGGGGATGTGGGGGGGTCCCGACGCCCCCTCCGGCCCCCCCTGGCCCCGCTCACTCCTGCAGGATCTTGCTGTCCGTGGTCTGCGGGAAGCCAAAGTCCATCAGCTCGTCCAGGAGCTCGTAGATGATGACGAAGTTGTCGCGGATGCTCTCCTCCTCCAGCTCCTTGAAGTACTCACAGAAGACCTGGCCGGGGGGGG